TGTTTTCAAAATTGTTTGTTTGCTTTTCAACTGTGGGTTTAAAAAGTTTCTTTGAAAATTTCAGTTCGACTCTTGTATCAGTCCTCAAGAGTGTTTGAAAAGTTGTTTTGAAATCTTTCTGAAAGTGTCGGTGTGAAAAGAGTTTTTGATTTTGTTTTGAAATTAGAGCAAGTATCTACGAGTTCTCTACCTACCCTAAGGAATTCGTCTGTGTAAATGTCCTTAAAGCAGTGCCATCCCACCATTGAGAGGTAGGTAGCACCACCGTTGGAGGTGTTCGGGTCAATTCGAGGGTTCGGGACATTGTGGTCACCAGAGCAATAGGAAGACACCTTAGAAGCTACCCTCATGCCATGTTCATGGACATGAGGACTTACTAAAATATCCTATACTCGACGACCACCTTTCGAGGGGCAAGGCAACAGTGAGGCGTACCCTAGGGGTGGTGTGTGATTTGTGTGTCGTTTTCGATTATGTTTATCTTGTTCATGCATTGGTGATCTACGCTTTGTTTTTATTTTTGGCATTCATTCTTTCATGCAAATTATTAACAGTTTAAAAGATGCGGAATTAAAAGTCCTACGCTATTACAAAGGCGCGGGTCTACATCGCCAAATTAGTCCGAGACCCGATTTGAATAAAATAAAAATGCGGAAGAATAAATATCCTAATTAATCTATTACAAGGCTTTGGAGTAATTACATGAAATTTACAAAAAGAAACAAACTAAGCGCGCGAAACGGAATTATAATCGAAAGCGAGGGCGTTGGACCCTTTTAAAGAAATTGAATTGAAATTAATAAATTAATTAAGTTTAAATAAAAAGAAAGAATTTTTGGAGTTTTTGTATTTATGGAGTTTAATGAGAAAATTAAATTGGAATTAAAAAGTTAATTAACCCTAGTTCTAAGCATTTTTAATTATTAACAAAAAATAGATTTTAGTTTGACCTAGTTTTAACCTAATTATTTAATGGCAAATTTATTTACAAAAAATAATTAATAATTAAATATGGTGAAAAAGAAAAAAAAGGAATAAAAGTATAAAACCCTAATTCTACATTTTTTAGTTTATTACAAAAATATTAAAATTAAAACCTAGAATTAGAACTAAATTAATTATTACATTTATTTACAAAATAAAAACATTAGTGAATTAAATAATAAAATATATTTTTATTTTTTGACTTTCTGATTTTTTGGTATTTTTATATTAAAGAAAAAAAACTTAATTTAAGGAATTAAAATAAAACAAATAATATAATTAAAATAAATAAGAAAAAAAAATAAAAAGAGAGGAAAATGCAAACATGGGGGGTTTGTTGTCCCAAATTGGAGGTCTGTTCCAGTAATGAGGCCCATTAGAAACTTGGCCTTTTTTGACTTTTCATGGATGCGTGTGGCTTTGTTGACCAATGCATATGGTGTTCTTCAGATCATGGCCATTGGACTGATCTTTTGAGACGCGTGGCAAGCTCCAGCGCTGGATGTTTGGTGGACTTCAAGACATGTTAGGTACCTAATCCTGTTGCAAGAAAAAATAGAAAGAAATATGGAGGACCTGGGGATCGAACCCAGGTCCCAATGCTTGCAAATGCTCTTCTCCACCAACTGTACCAACGCGTTCATTCATAAGTATAATGGAACATAATTAATATATTTGGAAAATCAAGATTATGCTGGAAAAAACAAAAAGGGCGCCATTTATTCAAACCAACCAATCATGGTTCCACACGCAAGCATCTTCTTCCTTGGTCTTTGCTTTAGCCTGAAAAAAATACATCAAATAGCGGAGGTTTTGAACCCCCACTAATTACAGTACAAGAAAATAGCGATTAGGCCACCGTTGCTCATAAATTGAGCGCGACATGTGTATTGAATTCGTGTGAAGCTTCTGATTCTAATAGCATAAGTCTTGTTGGCCAATTTTTCCGGACGAGAGAAACCCCAATTTTACAGCTTTGAAACCCTAACGAGCTCCAATGGTGGATTCATGTATAAGGCACGAAAACTCAATTGAATGGCATGGTTAGCTTCAGAATGATTAAACTAATACAAATCAAGCGTTAGAAATCAAAAATATGGCATGAATTATGAGACACGATTATGCAAAAAGTTTGAGAAAGCTTGACTTCTATATACCAATTCCTGAGGTTAGAAGCGTGGAAAAGGATTCAGAAAGTTTCCTTGATGCCTTGGCAAGCTATTGGTATGATTATTTCGCTTTGAATTGTGCTAGAACTGTGTTTTCAGTTTTCAATTTTTTCACAAAAAAATGCCAAGTTTGTATTCAGGTTTGGGCGCAGCTTCCAGGTTTTTTTTCATTAGGTTTAGGTTCTGACTTATATGAGGGATGAATTAGGGTAACAAAGCAAGCCTAATATCCAAGGAATCAATGCTTTTGAATTTTATGATCTTCCATGATTTTTCCAATCTTTTCTTCATGCCAAATATGCCAATCATTGGAGATTCTTTCCATATTGAATATGCACGAAATATTGAGGTGATGTTAGACCTATTAGCTGCATAAAAAGATTTAGAATACATGCTTGAGTATTTTTTTCATATTTTATTTAATTAAATGAATTAATGGTGATTAAAAATTCAAATAAATAATAAAAAATGATGAAATAAATCCCCTTTGGGTCAAATGGTCGTGCATAGCCTTTGGATAATGATTCTTGGAAGAAAATGTGGCCCATTAGCAATTTTGAGGCATTTGAAGCAAAGTTGACTTTTCAAAATTCCCAAAAATTTCCCAACTTCCACAAGGCATAGCTTGCTTAATTTTTAAGATTTGATCATGTTCTTGGACATTTTGGAAAGGTCTTGAAGTCCTCTAACCAATGCCTTTGGTCCCATGTCATTTTGATTTACCAATCTCAAGTTATGGTCTTTGACTTAAAGTCCCTTTTTGTTGACTTTTGAAAATGACCTATAATGTTGAAATTGATAACTTTTTGTGAGAGCATTTATTGGACTTGAAGTGTTAAGGGGAGTTGTAGGAAATGTCTTTCTCTTCAAAATGAGCTTTAGATGGAATTTTTCTGATAAACCATGTGGAAGTTATGCCTTGGTCAAGTTACAGTTGACTTTTTCAACTGTCCAAATATGGAAACTTTTGCATCTTGAGACTTTTTGAGCCATGCTTTGAGAATCATGATCAAGCATTGATCAAATGATGTTTGTGGCTTCAAAATAAGATGTTGACCAAAAATTTGAACTTTTGACTGTCAAATGACCATTTTACCCCTACAGTTGACTGTTGAGCAATTAGGGTTTTTGACTGTGCAATTTTGTGCTGTGAGTCTTGAAACTTGACATGAGGATGCTTGACAATGTTTATAGGCATGTGGGACTTGTTTGGACCCTTGGAAACTTCCATTTCTTTGTCAGAACCAAAACCCTAGTTTTTGACTGTTAGGAGGCCCTTGAACTGTGCAACCCTTGAGAGATTTTGAAGCATGCTCTTTGCAAATTTTGAAGGATATGGGAGGGAAAATTTTGGGGTACAACAGTATTGTTAACTTCTGATAAGTTACTAAATTACGGGATGATATTAGAGGATAATTTAGTATTTGTCATATGTAGGATATTCCCTTTAGGCCCTATGTGGCATTCTTATCTTTGTTCTATTTGTGTATAAATAGGTGTACTAGGTTTACATTTAAGACAATCAATTTCCTTCAATCATTAGTGGCAGCTTTTAGCATTTATTTCTTTTCTCTCTTCTTCCTCAATTTTATCACCTTGCACTAACACGAAAGAGTTTCAGAATCTTCCTATTAGAGTTATTAAATAGGGAACTAGTTTGATAGCAGAAGCTTTGCCGAGTTAGGCTATAAAAAGTCTTGTCTAACATCCTTTAAAAGCTAGAGGGAAAAGAATTTGTTTATGAAGTTGTGTTGAAGGATGTTGAGGGAATTTCTGATACTAGAGTTATTCTCTTGTTTGAAGACATCATTTCTCATGCCTATAAAACTATTATGGAGGAAGAACATGTTGCACTAGAGGCTGTAAAATCTTTTGACACATGTATTGATCTAAATCTTGTCTCTGATGATATCTTAGATTCTTCCACTTTACCCCCTGTTGAAAAAATCTGCAACACCTCCACCTCAATCTCGTGTACACTCATCTTCAACCATATTTGATTAGAAGTTATAAGCAGGTTCTGACTTACCCTCTCCTAAACCTGCCTCAAAATCAGAATATGTTGTAGCGGGTTCTTAAAGTTTTCAAAGAGCTTCTATCACGAAGGAATAGTCAAGCCACCCAACTTGTGAGAGACCCACTGAGTTGAATCAATTAGTATGTATTTTTTATTCTAAATACCCTCAACCTCTTAACAGCATGCTTGAACCACCAATACAGGTTTCTAGTTCCAAATCTAGCTAAATATTTAAGTTTGATGCATCTCAATTTGGACCTTTAAGGGTTAAACCTCTTCAAGTTATTCTCCCAAAAACATCAATCCCTGACAACCAAGCTCAAGCTTCATCTCAACTCTATTTATCTTGAACCAATCTTGTTTCTACCAACCTTGTTAAGACGATTATCCTAGTTAAATCTATAATTGAACAAGCAATCTATACACAGCCTTATCCTGAACCTCAATTATCTATTATTCAGTCTCACTCTAAAGTTCAGCTTGTATATAAACTTCACTCTGAAACTGAGAAGGACACATTTAACCAAACAAACCTTGAACAAGCTCATTTGAACTAACCTCTACCTATAAATTGTATATACCAAACTGAACTAGAAAACTCCCGGCCTTTACCATTTTCCCCCACTAAAGAAACATGTGTTGTGTTAGAATTTGATATAATGCCTCTATCTATCCCTTTTTCTCCTTCACCTACCCCCCCCCCCCCCCCCCAACTATTCCTACCCCTTCCTATCCAACTCCAAGTGGAAGAATTTAGGACATTTATCTTTGACAGGGTTCATAATCTGTTGTCTGAAAGGTTTTCTGCTTCTGATCCCATAATTCATGCAATGAAATGGGATTCCATCAAAACTTCTAATGACTCTATTTTTCTCAATCTTAAGGCCTTCTCTACTGAGCGTGTAGCTTATTCTAGTCAGAAGCATGGGAAGATAAATGAGAAGATGATTTTCGTTGTAGCCATTCAACTGTCTTTGGCAGCTAAGCAAGATGTGATGGATGATCAATTGAAAACCATGATTGCAGGACAAGATGAAACGGTCTCCGATTTGAAAGCTATCGTGGAACTTCTAAAGCAAAAACACCAGGCTTTAATATTTTAGCAAACCCTTTATTATGTCTTTTCAAATTTCATGAACACGTTTTCATTATTATATATAGATTCTCTCTAGTTAATGGAATATTATTCTTTAGTATCTTTTATGTTCTCTTTTCTTTGTTTTTTTTGTTGATGACAAAAGGGGAGAAGAAGGATAAGTATTTAAGCATTTGAACCTTATTGATTTAATTATGTTTATGCTTAATTATGAAGATTTTATTATTATGCTTCAATGATAAATTTAATTAATCCGGCTAGGATTAAAGGGGAGCTTACAAACCTCACCTTTAGGACTTTCCGACTTAGATAGAGCTTAGAAACCTGAACCTTAGGTTTATCAGACTCGGGGAAAGCTTACAAACCTCAGACCTTGAAGTCAGAATGTTAATTAAATCAACAACCATTGATCTTAAATACTTGTGTTTGTCATCATCAAAAAGGGTTGTTGGAACAAAATTGATTTTTACCATATCCCTTAGGTTTTGATGATAAAAACATATTTAAAGATGGGTAGACTAATATGTGTAAAAGTCCGTAGGTACAAAGAACAATATACTGATTGAAAGTCAATTATGAAACCGCATTGAACATTGAAGGAGGATCTCTTAAGATGCAAACTGTGAAGAATAAATTTCTAATCAAGTCATATTTTGATGATCACAACTTGAAGTCTCCATACTCTAAATAAGCCATCCTCTAAAGAGTGAGAGTCTGAAGGATCTGAAGCTAAGATGTTGACTCGGAATTTGAAGGACCAGAACCTGAACTCAGTTAAAGCTCAAGAATCGAGGATTTTCTGACACATCGCTATTAGACTCTAAGGTTAATTTGTCATATTCTAGTCATGGGATAACTCATCGTAAAGTTGCAAAAGCCTAAAGGTTTACAACTGATCATTCCTTTTGTAGAAAAGGAAGTTCAAATTAGTTTGCAGTGGCATTAACCATTTGAGGAAGATTTTAAACAGATTTATTGATGCCTCTCTTCAATGACTCTCTTGTGCTTTAAGTTCTCTCCAACGACTCTTTCATGGAACTTTATAAAAGGATTTAAAGATTTGGAGAAACACATAACACCGCACCTTGACAAGAAAAGAGAAGTTACTCTATCCAAACAAATAACACAAGCTAACTTAAAACTTCTTACTGATTATACATTCTTAGAAGTTCTTAAGTCTTAGAGTTTTCTGTGTTGTAATTTGTTTACACCTATGATTGTATATCAAGTGTAGTTTATACACTATCACTTTCATTTATCTGTTAGATAGATTGTAAGAAGTCTCTTGCATGTGTGCTTGAGCAGTGAAGTCTCTTACTTGTGTGCTTGAGCAATTGGATGTCTCGTGCATTTGTGCTTGAGCAGTGAACTCTCTTACTTGTGTGCTTGTGAAATTGGAAGTCTCTTGCCTGCATGCTTAAGCACTAAAGTCTCTTGCTTGCGTGCTTGAGAAATTAGAACTCTCTTGCCTTTGTGCTTGAGCAGTGAAGTCTCTTGCTTGTGTGCTTGAGAAATCATAATTCTCTTGCTTGTGTGCTTGAGCATTGAAGTCTCTTACTTGTGTGTTTGGGAATTTGTAAGTCTCTTGCGTGTGTGCTTGGGCAACTTGTAATCAAATTTGGTTATAGTGGAAATCTCTTGGAAGTGCAAAGGGGACTGGACTACTCCTAATTTATAGAAGGAGCCATGATAATTGCTTGTGTGTTGTCTTGCTCTATTCTTTATTTTTGTTGAACATTATTTCACTGCTACTTCATCAAACTCTAAATCAGATTCTGACTTATGCAATCAGAATCTGATAATAGATCTTAAGGAGAAAAAGAAGAAAAAGTCAACACAGTTCAACCTTTTTTCTTGTGTTTTTCTCACCTTCATTTTTTACCATCACCATATTTTCCAACCAATTGGATATTCACTTCTTTGATAAAGTTTGCTCTTACTAACTTATGAGTCTCTTCATCTACTGTCCTTTGTTTTTCCAGGCTCATCTTGCAATTTATTTGTTGTACGGCCTTCACAGTTGGGTTGATAGTCAAACAATGACATATGAAATTGAGATCTATCCATGACTATCCTTGACAGACCAAGAAAAATAAATCTATGTTTCTTCTAAGGATGTTCTTCAACTTTTTCCCCTCACTTGGGACATAGACGTCCCCATCTTGGCTTTTTGTCCAAGCTCATTCCCTATCTGAATTTCCTTTATTTCCAGTACTGACGTCGGATACCACTCTTCCTCCCCATTGTTAAAGTCTCTAGGATCAATACAAAAAAACTACAATGCACGTCATCATTTGTTCCTTTATTTTTTTGACCTTTCTGTTTCATAAGCTATCTTTATAGCATTTTCTTGCAGTAGGTTGATCACCTCTGATAACTCTAACTTGAACTCCCTCTGGTGGATACTTGATGCATAAATGTGCATATGAGATTATTGCTCCTAATTCATTTAGGGTTGGACTTCCTAAAATGATATTGTAAAGTGATTGTGCGTCCACTATAATGTACTTCACCATTATGGTTTTTGTGTTTTCTTCATCACTGAATATGATATGTAGGTCCACATAACCTAAGATCTCTACTGGCTCCCCGAAAACCCTAACAAATCTCCTCAGTACTCATTCATGACTTCCTTGGGCAGTCCTAACTTATCGAAGACTTCCTAAAATAATACATTAGTTAAGGTTCTTGTGTCCACCATCACATGTTTGATTTGAAATCCAAAAGTGACCACCAATATAACCAAAGGGTCATCATTATGATGGTGTATCCCTCTAGAATATTGGACAGTAAATAAAATCCGAGTGTGCTCTTTGAATGCATGTACTTCAACCATATTGCAAGATAAAGTTGAGTGTGAGTATCTTTTTCTCGTTGAGTTGGTTGCCCTTTGTCTTTATAATCCACATGTAATGTTGTTTGGTCTTTTCTTTGCATCTCCCTGACCCCCTTCTTTTGAGAAATCTCCTTGGCCTCAATGTGTTTCTTAACTTTCATCTGAATCTCGTTCATTGAGTATGACATATTAAGGTCATGACAAATATATCATCATTTGGTTCTACCACTTTGAGGGCAACATTGTTAAACCGGGCTATATAACTCTTCAAAGACTTAATTGAACGATGTTGGACATCAAATAAGTCGGCTAGGTAAGAAATGATTTTTGTTATTTGCCGCAAACTAAGCAACAAAACAAGTTGTAAGATATTCAAAGCTTGTGATGGACCTAGAAGGGAGCCATGTTATCCACTTATGAGATACATCTTTCAAGGTTCCTGCAAAAAAATTGTAGCTCAACGCGTCGTCAGCTCTACTTATGAGCATCTGTGTTTGGAATGCTAAAACATGACTTTGAAGGTCGTTTGTTCCGTCATAAGAGTTAATTGTAGGTTCTCAAAAGTGACAAATAGTAACATTGCCTCTGAAAAAGGTTGAAAAACCTTAAGCATCAACCTAGTTGTTTCAATTCTAATGAAATTGTTCCACAAGAGCTCAATATGTTGTCCCCATGTTCACGCCCTTGTTCCTCCAGTTATTGCTTTAGCTCAGTCTCTCGAACTTGAACTTCATTTGATTGACATTATTGCTCCTTATTTTATTGTTGTTGCTCCACATTTTTCTCTTAAAGCTCATGTACAACCTCCATAAATTGAGCTAGTTGTGAGTTGAAATCATGGTTAGGCACAAAGTCAGAAGAAATTTGTGTTGGCTTGTGTTGTGACATGGTGGTATGTAGGTAGAAAATAAAGCTAAATCATTGAAAATTTTTACGGTAACCTTACCATAGATGTCAATGTTCACATATGTAAACACAAGATAGTTCAAACAGAGGAACTACTCAATAAAAAAACTCAAATGAAATGACATAAGTCATCTAATAAAATTTCTAATGATTAAATATATTATTACTCTTAATCTTTCAACCTAACCCTTTTTTTCCAAGTCTTTGTCTTTTATAATGCACCTTGTCTTGATCTTATGGACTCTTCTATGTGATGTTCATATTCATACCCATTAGGTTTTACTTCTAAGGTTCACACAACCCATCCGCACAGAAGCGTAGAGTTAAGCACACACAACCTATATATATATGACATATTATGTGCATGGTATAAAATTGATCGACTTTGAAAACAGCACCGTACCACCGTCCAGTGACAGAGAGACGAGATGTTCGATAAACAACCACCATTTCCCAAGCTCAATATACGTGTACTCTACTCTCACACAATTCAACCCACCCCTTATTTTCCTCCAAATTACACAAATTGCCACCACCATTCTTCCACTCCTCATCGCTCCTTCTATCTACTTCCAGTTTCTAATTTCTACCACTATCACTCTCTTCTTCTATTCTATCCCCGCACGTGTGAGCCATGAACTCTCTTCAATACCGTTACATTCTTTCTCCACAGTCCACAAAACCCCGATTTTCTCGCATTTTCCCGCCTCTTTTTGATTTTCCCGGAAGAAGAAGAAGAAAACAAGGTTTCTCAATATGCTGCTCTTCGAAAACCGATGAGCGCCCTCCGTTTGATATCAACCTTGCTGTTATTCTTGCCGGCTTTTCCTTTGAAGCATACACAACTCCTCCTGTATGTTGTGTTTTCTGTTTGTGGAATTTTTTCATTATTATAGATTACTCATTGAGTTCATTATTCTTAATATTGCTTAGGTTGATTTGAAATTTTGTAGTTTGTTAGTTGATTTCATTTTTTCCTTTGTTTTCTAATTTTGGAGGGAAAAAAGCTGATCTGAAATTATTTGTGTATTAAGAAAATTATTGTTTAATTTGGGAGATTAACTAGTAATTTTTGGATTTTCACATAGTTATGTTTGTTGAAATGTTGAAAACAGTAATGAGATGAGGTTTTGGAGAGGGAAAAAAGCTAACCTGAACTTATTATTATGAAGCACTGACTCCGACACGGACACTCTTACACCGATATGTCAAATACCTACGACACCGGCACCGCTATATATGTTATAGTATTTGAGTTTCATTTATTCATCTAATATAAAAGAGTTAAAAATATTCTAATCAAAATTAGTTTCAGTTGTCTAGGAAATGTATAAAGTGTGTTGAGGAAAAGAAAAACACAATTTTTTTAAAGAAAACTTGTCTGAATTATCGGATACATGTTGTATGAGTGTCATATGGGTATTGGACACCGACTAAAGAAAAAAGACCAATTTTTTAGAGACACTTGTCTGACTTTTCCGACACTTGTTTGACTTTTCCGACACGTGTCGTACGAGTGTCATACAAGTATCAGACACCGACACGTGTCGGACACCGCGATATGCCTATTTCTAGAGGTGTTTGTGCTTCATATTAGTAAACTACTAAGTATGATCGAATTTGATAGATTGAATAGAAGAAAAAAACTGAGTTGATCGTAGTGTTATTTTTTCTTTGTGCCGTCTGTGTTTTCTTTTTAATCCTTTATTTTTCTTTTCCATTATAACATGTTTCAGGAAAATTTGGGTAGGCGTGAAGTTGATGCAGCTGGTAGCAAGACAATCTATCTTTCTGAGTAAGTAACAATTATAGTTGCCCTTAAGTTTGATCAATGTAGCTGACTTCATATATATAGATAGAGAATCTTGAATGTTGTTGTTGTTGTATTAAGTGTATGATTGGATGAACAATGATTTTGGAAAAATAACAGTGTCGCCATGATGTTGTTGAATCTCCAAAGTGCAGCTTTTGCCAAATCGCAGCAGCTTGCCATGATTCTTTCATTCTCACTGCAAACCAAAACACACACTTAATCTCAGATGCCTTTCCATGTTAAAATGAAGGGTAGGCTTGACAAGATCTTTTTGCAAATATGCAGGGAATTTTTTCGCGAGCTTTATGACGGGCAACTATTCATAAAGTTGAAAAAAGGATCCAGTTTCCCTGCCATGGATCCATGGGTTGGTTCTCTTATATAAATTTATTTACTGTACCGGATAGTTCTGTAATGTAATGAAATGAATTGCATTTCTTGTTACTTAGCCACACAACTGAGTTATTTTCCCCCTTCATTTTTAGCTAATTTACATAACTACTTGGCCTTCCTTTTATTTCTGTTGTTTCTTTACATTTATTCTAGGGAACAAGTGATCCATATGTGGTCTTACAGATGGGTTCTCAGTCTGCTAAAAGCAATATCAAATGGAGGTGAGCTTTTGTAGTATTTATTTTTGTCATTTCATTTCTTACCATCTAACGATTAAAATGAATTTCAGTAGTTCTAAATAGTTTACAGTCATTGTGATTGCAGAGTTTTGTACAGTAGTGTTTAAAATTACTAATTTATCATCATAGCTGGTTAGTACATTTGGTTCATTTATGTAAAATTAATTGATGACAGGACAAAAGAGCCAACATGGAATGAGGAGTTTACTTTTAATTTTAAGCGGTCTCCAAACAAATTCCTACAGGTTAAGAAGCATAGTTTCTCTCCCTATATCTCTCTCATCTGTGCACCCATAAAAAATGATAAAAATGAGAGTCTTTTTAAATAAGTGTGGAAGTGATATTGGAACTTTGATTTAATGGCATGTTGTGATACATGAAAAATGTAACAAGTAGTAACTAATCATTGTTTTGTACTTATGCTAAATAGATATACATAACTCCTTTGCCACTCTCATCTATTTCTTGTACTTTTCTTTAGAAGTTTGAAGCTGATACTGTTGAGTTTAATGTGCTTGAGGAAATGTTTATAGTTGACATGAAGTAAGATCGTCTTCTTATATCATAAAATCGAAATATCTGTCCAGAAAATTTTATTAATGGATGGTACTCCCATATTCCTTAGGGATGAAATAGATTAATTAGTTAAGAACATTCAAGGCAATGTTTCAAATGTGAGTCTAAGAAATGTCATGATATAATAATGGTCATGTAAGATTGTGATTTGTGGTTGACATGAGAAATTTTCCTGGACAATTCTCTAGGACACGCTTACCTCGTGTTTCTTTTTTCAACTGAAATCAAAAGTCTGATGGTAAAAATAGAAGAAAAAAAGTTATGTTAAATTTCTTACAATTGGCAGTATATCTTAGGTTGCAGCTTGGGATGCAAACTTCTTAACCCCACACAAACGCCTTGGGAATGCAGTTGTTGATTTGGAATGGCTTTGTGACGGTGAGGACCTGAAAATTTTGCAAGATATTGAAAGATTCTTCTGTGTTTAAAATTTCATTGAGTTGAACTATGCTACAAATGTCATGATTCATTGAAATGGTAACTGTCAAAAAAAGTGCAATAGAAGAGAACATAAAGTTAAGATGTCATTTTAAACTTGTGACCACATTTTTTTACCATATAATGTTTTTTGTTGTTGTAGGAGATACACATAAAATACTGGTGGAGTTGGAAGGAATGGGTGGTGGTGGCATGGTTTGGCTGGAGGTATGTTTCTTTCAATGGAAAAGAATAAATACAAATCAACAGTACAAGCTCTTAATATAGGAAAAATTACCGGCATATATGTTTTGGTGAACATCATGATGTCCATACCATTTGTTCTTCATTTACATTTTAGTGGACAAAATTATGTCCATCTAGGGCTAATGTAAAATGACGTTTGCTTGTTATTCAGTTGAGTTGAGATAAGCTATTCACTTTGTCATAGAAAGTGGAAACTAAGTATGCTTAATTTGGTGTCAATTTGCTTATGTGTATAACTTGTGGTTACCTACCATTGATTAGTTATAAGTAGTGACTTCTGTAAGAAATTTTGGATTTTAGGTTATATATAAGACCTTTGATGAAATTGACGATGAGGAAAAGTGGTGGAAGATACCTTTTGTTTCAGATTTCCTAAAGAAGAATGGTTTTGATTCTGCTCTCAGAAAGGTTATTGGTTCTGATACAGTACAAGTCAGCCAATTTGTGGAGTATGCATTTGGGAAGTTGAAATCATTTAACAACGAGAAGGGTCAGATGTCTGATACTGATAATGATAAATATGATACTGAAAGTTCTAAGGAATCAAATGATTCTGCATGTATGTTGAAGTCTCCTTACGAGGCTACTGGTTCAGATTCAGAAGCCTCTGATGAAGCTTCTAGTGAACAAAGAAACATGGAAGAGTTTCACTCACATGATAGTGAAACTGGAAATGAACACGCTTTGAAACCATTACCACAAGCTAGTGAGGAAGAACTGTCAAATCAACGTTTTTGGAAGAATTTTTCTAATGTTGTCAATGCCGACATTGTTCAAAAGCTGGGTCTCTCGGTTATGGAGAAATTAAAGTGGGATGGACTGGAGTTTCTAAACAAAATTGGCTTGCAATCCCAAGATATTGCAGATGTTTCTGGTCTTGCGATACATGGAGGCATAGAAGAATCGGACAATAAAATCCAGTCTTCACTTCCAGAGGTCAAAAAGGCAAGTGAGAAATTGATGGAGCAAACTGAATCAATTTTAGGAGGTTTAATGCTTTTGTCGGCAACAGCTTCCAAAATGAAAGATGAAGGATGTTCTTCTGAAGAGAGGAAAACCAAAGAAGATTCTATCAAAGGAGTAGGCAGTGATGTTCAGTATTCTACTAGTGAGAAGTCTCCTAGCCCAGAAAACGGATCATTTTTGGATGATAAACAAACTGAAGAAACGAGAGCACTTTTTTCAACTGCTGAAAGTGCCATGGAGGCTTGGACAATGCTGGCAACTTCACTAGGTCATCCTAGTTTCATTAAGTCTGAGTTCGAAAAGATATGTTTCTTAGATAATGGACCCACTGACACACAGGTGTTATATTACCTCCTCATTAATGAGTTCACTTATCTTATATGAATTTGACTATTGGCAATGTGTCATACATAATTCTGAGTTTTACTGCCGAAGTATTTTTCCAGGCACTGCTTTCTATTTTCTTAATAATTAGAACTTTCAGGTTGCAGTTTGGCGTGATTCTGTGCGAAGAAGGTTAGTGATTGCATTCAGGGGAACAGAACAGGTAGTTTATATTCTTCTTGTTCTTTTAGGCATAATACTCTTCCGCCATCTGGTTTGTCAAGATGCTTATGTTTTTTATTTTGATTTTTCAGACAGCATGGAAGGACTTTGCAACGGATCTAATGGTTATTCCAGCAGGGTAAAATTCATTTCCAACCTAGTTGTGACTTGTTTAGCAGTTTGTATTTTTTTATTGTTCTAGAATCTTTCCACTTTGATATATTTTTAATTTTGTGCGATATCGGATCCATATGATGTTTGATTAGTGTGTTCAAATTTTACTGCTTGATTTTTGTATGATATATTTGATGACATACTTCTCTACATAATTGTGTCGGTGAAAGAAAAAACCGACACTTTGTAGAAACAACTTTGATACCATGTAGTTTCTATGTAGTAAGTCACATGTTAAATATGTCTTCCGTAATTATTGCTAATGATATTGTAATTAGCAATTAATTACAAAAGGCATAATTTACACGTGATTAATTTCACAGTAACTAAACTATAAATCAATATAACCCATAAAAGAATTAGAAATGAATTATTTTAAAAACGAAATGGGAAAAAATGTAAAATGCACTAGATGCATATTATAGGGATAACGACGTGACATTTTACTTGTTCATCTATTTATAAAGCTTATCATCATTGAGTGTATTACTTTTTCATATTAGCCATACAATTAATGATATTCTTAAGGATTGTAGTTGGGGTTAATTCAACATTACAAGCTTACAAAAACAACTTGTTAGGTGAGGATTGCCCCACTTATAAACATATGTTCGTGCGACGTGGGACTCTTAGTGATATTAAGTAAAATAGTTGTAACAATAAATATGTAAGAAATATGTATTACTTTTTCATATTAGCAATACAATTAATAATGTTCTTAAGGATTATATATGAGCTTAACTCAACCTTATAAAACCAAACGAGCTTGTAAAGTAAGGATTGCCTTCACGTATAATCATATGTTCAAACCGCACATTATCGATATGGGACTTTTAACTGATATGATAAGAGGAGACAAAACATAGGAGTATTTTTGAAAGAAATTATTAATACATATGAAAGTTTGTAAAGGGTCTGATGTTAGGGGAGAAAGAAATATGAAAAGATGGTTTAAATTTCCTAGCCATAAAAGCTTCCCCATTTTTATGTTCTGTTCTGATTTTCCACTTTCTCTCTCATCCAGTTCAGGGTCCTGTTAGTGAGGCTATGCCATCTAAGGGAGCCTTACAAATTATCATTTGGTGTGGCACATGCTCATTATTAATTTAGGAATAATTTTTATTTTACTTTTTATTTTATTTCATAACAAATTTTGCTATGACTTCCATAGGCTGAATCCTGAAAGGATAGGTGGAGATTTCAAGCAAGAGGTTCAAGTATGTTAATTGCCGGCAGGTTTTTGTTTTTAGTACATCTCTAAAAAGATACAGGAACCAAAATTTCTCCGGTTAATGATGGTGCTGAGATCTTTGCAGGTTCACAGGGGCTTTCTAAGTGCATATGACTCAGTAAGGACCAGGATCATTTCTCTGATTGAACTTGCAATTGGTTATGTGTAAGTTGTATTCCCGAAGAAGTTTTATCGACCAAACACTACCTCCAAAACATGTAACTCGTAGAATATTTTTTTTAGTAAATGAAAATACTCCATCTTGCCAAATTTAAGCTTTTAATTTGAATCATTGGCTATTATCATATTCATGTGTTTACATGCCACTTTATTAGTTTTACTCAACATTTGATTTCATATTAACAAACTGAAGGTGTATTGTTTTTGTACCAGGGATGATAATTCGGAGTTCACCCATAAATGGCAGATTTATATGACTGGACATAGTTTGGGTGGTGCATTGGCTATTTTGCTTGCCCTTGAACTTTCATCAAATCAATTAGCTAAGTAAGTTTATTATTAGTCTTACCTAGTTGCATTTTGATAGAAACTCATATCAAGAATGTATTTATTGAATAAGAATAGAAGTTTATTGAATATTCTCCGTAGAAAAGATCTCAAACAGAGACAAAGAACAAACATACACACTGTTACTGAATTGAAATGTTACACAGATAATAAACGCAGGTGCAATTCCTACCATGGATTCTAGGAGCCTTGGGTCTCTCCCTTTCCAGTTAACCACTCAAATATTTTCAAGATAACCCTCTAACCCACGGTTTCCTTATTTTATTCACATCTCACACCACACACTCTATTTACTGACAAAAGACTTTTGAGGGTCCCTGGCTGTAGATAATTGAATATTTGGTGAAATGCTCGAGTTACAAAGCACTGAAGTGATTTCATTATATACACACAAGAGAGTAATTATAGTATAAGATTGAAGTTATTTCTTAGGTACATGTATGTAATTTACAAGACATAGATTCCTAGACTCCTAGATACATGAGTAGGCTCTTAAATACAGAATTATAATTTTCAATAATTTGTAATTTTAATAATTCCAACACTCTCCCTCAAGCTGGAGAATAGATATCAATCATTCCTAGCTTGCAAGTCAATTGATTAAAACGATCATGTGGCAAGCCCTTTGTCAACACATCTGCTAGTTGATGTCCAGAAGGAATATAGGATGTAGCTATTAAACCACTATCTAGTTTTTCCTTGATGAAATGGCGGTCAATCTATATATTTGGTTTTGTCATGTTGAACAGGATTATGAGCAATACTGATTGCCGACTTGTTGTCACAAAACAACTTCATAGGCCATTCACATTGTATTTTCAGATCATTTAGAATGATCCTCATCCAAACTAACTCACAGATTCCTTGAGCCAAAGCTCGAAATTCTGCCTCAACGCTTGATCGAGCCACTACATTTTGTTTCTTACTTTTCCCTGTGACAAGGTTCCCACACAAGAGGGTGCAAAATCCCGAAGTGGATCTTCTATCACTTATTGATCCTGCATCGTCAGCATCAATGTAGGCTTCTATAGTTAAGCTTCCACCTCTTTTGAACAATGGTCCTCTTCCCGGAATAGCCTTGAGGTATTGCAAGATGCGATCAACAGCTTGTAAGTGTCGCATTCTTGGGTCGTGTATAAATTGGCTCACTACACTGACTGCATAAGCCAAGTCAGGCCTAGTGTGTGCCAGGTAAATCAACTTTCCTACCAATCTCTGATATTGGACTCTGTCAACTTTGGCCCTTTCTTCTTCGAGGCTTAACTTGTGGTTTTGCTCTATGGGAACACTTAGGTTTGCATCCCAGTTTCCTGCCAGAGATCGAGTATATACTTCCTTTGAGATATGAAAATGCCTTGGTTTGAGTAAGCAACCTCAATTCCCAAAAAATACTTGAGTTGCCCAAAGTCCTTCATTTCGAATTTTCCGATAGTTTTTCCTTTACAATTGTTTCTCTGACAGGTCATCTCCTGTAATAATAATATCATCAACATAGACAAGAAGGATAATAAGTTTTCCTTCATGCGAGTGCTTAAAGAAAAACATGTGATCTCCTTGGCTCTGCTTATAGCCTAAGTACACCATTGCTTTTGTGAATCTTCCAAACCATGCTCTAGGAGATTGTTTTAGTCCATATAGGGCTTTCCTCAATCGACACACCTTGTTGGATCCACATGTAGGGCCAAATTCCGGCGGGATCTCCATGTACACCTCTTCTTCTAAGTTTCCATGCAAGAATGCATTTTTGACATCAAATTGTTGTAATTCCCACCCGGAGTGAGCAGCAAGAGATAATAAGATCCGAACAGTGTTCATTTTCGCAACAGGAACAGAGGTTTCCTCATAACCTAGGCCATATGTCTGTGTGTATCCTTTTGCCACTAGCCTAGCTTTGTAACGGTCAAGAGTACCATCTGATTTGTGTTTGACTGTATAGATCCACCTGCAAACAACAGGTTTCTTGCCTTCCCGTTTATCAACAATCTCCCAAGTTCCATTTTTTTCAAGAGCTTTCATTTCGTCATCCATGACTTGGACCCAATTTCTATCTTTCAATGCCTCTTGAACGGATGATGGGATGACCACAGAGTCAACTGCAAAAATAAAACTCTGATGCTGCAAGGAAAGATTTTTAGTGGAGACAAATTGAGATATAGGATATTTGGCACATGACCTTTTCCCTTTCCTCAAAGCAATAGGCAAATCATTTGTTTTAGTGTCACAAGTGTCATAGCTTTGGGAATCATTAATAGGATTGTGAGTTTCAACACTTACCTCTGGTTTTGGAAATTGGAGTTGTGTTTGGAGCAGGTCGGGCTTACTTCTTCTGTGATACACCAAGGTTGGCTCACCAGCCTTAGTTTTTGTTAGTGTGGAAGATGATGGTTCTTGCAAAACAGACGACATAGGAGGGACCAAAATAGAAGTAGGATCAATAATAGGAGGATCAGTAATAGGACTTGACACATGATTCACAGTCAACTCGGGAGACTTAATTGTACGAGGAGGCTCAATTGTAGGACCGGTAATATGACTTAAGAGAGGAGTCACGGGCAATTCAGGTAGGACCAAAAACTCAGAATCAAATTCTACATTCTGAATGCTCTCCCCCTGACGTTGAGGACGAGTGAAGTAGGCCAAATTCTCATGAAACGTGGCATCTTTAGAGACAAAGTACTTACGACTAGGAGGATGATAACATTTATATCCTCTCTTGTTTGGAGGATAGCCAACAAAGATGCATCCGACTGCGCGGGGGTCCAATTTACTTCGGTGTTATTTATGGATATGGACAAAGGCAACACAGTCAAATACTCGAGACTCGAGACTCTGCAAAATAGGAACAGAAGGAAACCGTGAAGTCATAAACTGAACAGGACTGACATTACCTAACATGCGAGATGGAACCCGATTAATCAAGTAGGAAGCAGTCAGAACGACTTCTCCCCAATATGAGTTGAGAACTTCCATTTGGAAGAGGATGGCTCGAGCAACTTCAATTAAATGACGATTCTTTCTTTCTGCAACGCCATTTTGTTGTGGGGTGTCGACACATGTAAATTCTTGAAGTATTCCCCGTTGACTGGTAAAATTTGAAAAGATGTGATTGGCATACTCTTTGTCATTGTCAGAGTGGATTCTTTTAATCCCCTTGCCAAATTGTGTTTGTACCATGTTATAAAAACTAATAACTATTTTCAGTACTTCTGACTTATCCTTCATCAAGAAAATCCAAGTTGCTCGAGTACAATCATCAATATATGACACAGACCATTTAGAACCCGAAATATTAGAAAAGGTGCAGGTCCCCAAACATCAGGATGTATGAGATCAAAAGGTCCAACACTTCTATTGGAACTAGGAGTAAAAGAGACACGATGATGTTTAGCTAACTCAATAACGTCACATTTAAAAGACTCAACTGAATAATGTAAAAACAAAGAAGGAAATATAGACTTAACTAAAGAGAATGGTGGATGACCAAGGCCCTTGTGCTGAAGCCAAATTTGTGTGGCAGAATGAGAAGAAGACGCGGAAGACTCATTCTGCAAGTAGGAAGCCAACACCTTCGAACAATTTGGTTCATCAGATAGGTAGTACAACCCTCCCTTTTCCTTAGCAACTCCAATTGTCTTCCTGGTGGTAAGATCCTGAAAAATACAATAAGTGAAAAATATTACTTTACAACTCTGATCACGGGTGAGTTTACGAACAAATATTAGGTTGTGTGAGAGTGTGGGAACATGTAGCATGTCCTGTAATTGAAGTGAAGGTTGCAAGTTAACACTCCCAGAGCCATCAATACGGGCATAAGAATCATTAGGAACCGTAACATAATGGTTCTTATCAGAGGAGGTATAAGAGGAAATCAAACTATGATTGAATGTCATATGGTCGATGGCACCAGAGTTCAAAATCCAAACATTCTTAGAGATTTTACCGCAAACACTAAAGGATTGAGAGCATACACTCAAGCCGGTCGTCGGTAGAGAACAACTTTCAGAAGACTTACCGAGAGAGTCAAGTATAACCTTTAAACGATTCACTTCATCCTCGGTGAATGATAAAGACTAATCAATAGAAAAAAATTTCAGCCATTTGTAGCAAGCTAAAAAAAATAGCAGCAATAAGACGAGCCAAATAGTGGCAAAAAAAGATGAAATAGAGGTGTTTCTGGACAAAAAAAAACTGCAAGGAACAAGGCTGCAATGAAGGCAGCAAAATTGTCACAATGAAGGTGACTTAGGGTTTACTGTAATGAAGACGGCTGGGGTTTATGTGAAAGCAAGTCTCTCAAGATCGTTAGCTCTTGATACCATGTAGATAATTGAATATTTGGTGAAATGTTTGAGTTACAAAGCACTCAAGTGATTTCATTATATATACACACAAGAGAATAATTACAGGATAAGATTTAAGCTATTTCCTAGGTACATGTATGTAATTTACAAGGCATAGATTCCTAGACTCCTAGATACATGAATATGCTCATAAATACAGAATTATAATTTCAATAATTCCAACACTGGCTATAGTGAATTACTCAAAATTCATCAACATACACAATTCCATCTATTTCAAAATATTGATGTTATATTTCTGTTCTTGGAGTTTGTTTGGAGTCTCACATTGCTTAGGTTCCTACTGTTTGATGTTTAAATGTGTGAGCTAGCTTTTGCGGATGAGATCTAAGCTCATTTAACACAAATTAAATCAAAAGTGTTAGAAATCTAGTTATGCCCCGCATTCTTCTGAAGATGTCAAATTATCATATGATTGAGTCAGAGCTGAAACTTTTAGCTATTTCTTTTTAAACATAAAAAATGAACGTGTTGACACTTTCTTCTAAAGACATCAAACCGTCAATTATTGGGTCTGAGCTAATATTCTCAAATATTTCGTTTTAAATATAAGTGACCACATAATCTAAAAGATTGTTAATCTTCCTTCCTAATAGGCAGTCCTTCTTAATATTTGTTTTCGTTGTCATGACACATTATATATAAATGGTAACTACTGTATGTATTGTTGATTCGTGATTTTTGTCTATCAGGCGAGGAGCGGTCTCTATAACTATGTATAATTTTGGTTCTCCTAGGGTTGGTAACAAAAGATTTGCGAAGGTTTACAATAAGGTCAGAAACGGTTATACAATTATTTTGCTGATGCTGTTTTGCCGCCTTGTTACATGCTATATTAAATAAAATGTTCATAAATTTGGAAATTCCAAAATTGCCAAATGTGTGCAGAAGTAGTCATCTAGGCCAAAGATACCGCTTGCTTTAAAAAATGAGCCACCAGATGTTGCAACTGTTTCATGATTCGTTATGGCATTTGAGTACTAAACTAGTTATATATGGAGTTGTAACTGTTTCATGATTCGTAATGGCATTTGAGTACTAGACTAGTTAGAGGCATTTTATCTTCCAAACTGTCATGTGTTAAGTAAAAGTAGTTTATGTTTGTAAAACAATTAACAAGTTTCCTCTTATATTTACAGAATGTTAAAGATAGCTGGCGAATTGTGAATCACAAAGATATCATTCCTACAATGGGCCGGTTTATGAGTTATTGTCATATCAATCAACCTTTATTTCTTGCTGCCGGAGTTTCACCAAATTCCTTAGTGAGTTTTAATCTAATGCTTCAAACATATAAAAAAAAATTAGTCAAAAAGGGCCCCTCTAATGCTTCAAACATATAAAAAAAAATTAGTCAAAAAAAGGGCCCAACCGGGTTTGAACCGGTGACCTCTTGATCTGCAGTCAAATGCTCTACCACTGAGCTATGGACCCATTGGTGATATTATTATCCAATCATCTTAATTTAAATGTATTTACCAAAGTTTTCTTCATCAATATTGTCCTATTTATTTACTACCTAATCTTTCCTGTAACATAATTTGAATTTTTTTCATGATTACTTTCTTACCGTTTACGAAGGAATTGTTTATGCTATCTTTCCATAATAGGATTTTAGGTGTCACTATATAAAAAGTTGTATAATTAATCTCCACTATATGAAAGTTGCATTTTATGGTTCTTCACACTTACTGATATATCAAATGTGTATTACCTAGGAGAATAAAGATATTCTTGGAAATGGTTATGAAAGTGATGTTTTTGGGGAATCCACGCCAAATATCATAATCAACGACTTTGTATGTTTCTTCTTCTCCTTCTCTAGTGTTCTTTACATTTTTTTCTTCTCATATATACACATACACACACAAATCTATACATATGCATATGCATTTAATAACAGAATTTTAAAGCTCAAACTAACTATGTCTTGTGCTACAAGTAACTACAGTTGGTCAAAATGAATTACTCTCAACAACTGTAGTACTTGACACATGCACCTCGGAACTGTAACTCATGATTCTTCTCCTCTTATAGACTATAATCAATTTTGGGTTTAACATGATAGACATCCACTAATATTCTTAATTTATATTTTTAATAGTCACAGTTGACAAATTCTTCCTTTTAAGTTGACTTATCTTTCTTTAATGTTCACTATTCTCAACTTTGATCCATCCAGATAAATGGCGAAATGGAACTTATTGAGAAGTTGTTACAAACTGAAATTAATATATTCCGCTCAATTAGAGATGGAAGTGCATACATGCAGCATATGGAGGATTTTTATTACATCACATTACTAGAGGTATGATGCGCTCACTTTAAATACCTCAAAGGAAATTTCTACGTTCCGTTATCATCATTCTTATTTGGGTTTACGGGTAGCGTAGTTTACTTTAGTTCATAAAACTATATTTGTCTCTAGGGAAGAGAGAGAGACATGAACGAACCAAAGTAGTTTAGATCGATTTTTTCAGAGGTGTTGATAATAGGAATGAATAGTACTGTACGTTAGTTTATTGTTAGGGTATATTATCACTCTGGAGATATGAAAAATAAAGTGTATCAAATAAATTTGAAGGGACGGTAGCGCACGGTGTCTTCAACCCCAACTTCTTCTTCGTCCCTATTTTGGAGATTGGATATAACCAATGAGATTTTGAAGTGAATGTCAGTCCATCAAAGATAAGTGACATTAATTTGGTCCTAAAAAGTTTGACATTACTTAAGACCCTTTAATTATGGAAAGGAACATCAAAACTCTTCTTTAGTTTTAAACCATGATTATATTAATTGAGCATTTAATGGAGGGACTAAATTGATATCACTATTTTTTTCGATTGACAAAAAGTCTCAAATTACATTTTGACCATTTTTACATAGATTAACAAATATAGTTAATTTCATTTGAAAAAGATAAATTATGAGATAATTTGCAAAATTATCCTTTATTAATGACATCCGAATTTTTATTTTGAAGAATTAGAAGAGTATTGAAATTTCAGAATCTATTAATTATGATTTCACTGGTACAAGATACAATAGGTTCTAACTTCTAACTAAATCTCTTAACTATAGGCAACAGTTCTTGAATTCAATGAGTTGTTAATAACCTTAATTAGCCGCATACTGTTATAACATAAGCTAGCAATATGTTTTAATAGAAACTAACTGCATGCCAGTTGGCACATGCGCCATCTGTCATGCCTTAAGTGAAAACATCTCTAATATACCTCCTTAAAAATTGGAGATTCTTGTTGGACTGTGGATTTGTTAAGGATTCTTAGTCTCTGAGATTGATGGAATGAGTTGCCAAATGAGGTTTGATGAGAACAATAGGTCTTTCAATGAGAGAGTAGCATACTGAAATGAACCAACAATAGAACAATAGGTCTTTCAATCCTCTTTCTAGTGGTGGAGATAAAAACTGACACACTTTGTTAATTGAGGAAGAGATCTTTGGCTTAGTCAGAGTAGCATACCACAAAGCACCAACAATAGAATGATATAAGGTAAGATCCTCAACATAGTTTGACCCAGTTTTGGAGACTTCTTGCTAGATATCATAGGAGTGTTGATGCCATTAGCTTTGTCCATTTGAGCTTTAATTAGTAAGTCCCTGATATATTTAGTGAACCATGTGGTAAGTTACCTTAATGCCCAAAAATTTAGCCCAAATCACAAGTTGTTTGAGTATGTTGATTAGTGGCTGAATGTGTGCTAAGGAATTTCCTGTCATTATAACTATCATCAAGATATACCAAAATTATGTTAATTAAAGGATGTTGTGTAATTATAAATATCATCAATATAAACCAAAATTATGATAATTAAGGATGTTGTTCTGATTATAATTATAAAGAGAGTAGGATTACATTTACTTGCACTAAAAGTTTTATAATGTCTAAAACTATGTTGAATACAATTTTGAGCCTTTCAAACTAAGAATTTCGAGCATGTTTGAGGCCATAAAGAGTCTTTTCAACTTGCATACTAAAACTTATTACTGCTATAATATCTTAAAATTTGAGTTGGATCTAACTCATATCTATAAAACTGACTTATAAGATGAGAAGGCCATAAAGAGCCTTTTCAACTTACATACTAGAATTTATTATTGCTATGATAACATCTTAAAATTTAAGTTGGACCTAACTCATATTTATAAAACTGACTTATAAGATGAGTGTAATTTTATATAAATTTGAGTTGGGTTTAACTCATTTCCACAAGTAAAAAAAATATAGGCTCAATTCAATTTTAAAAATAAAAAAACTTTGTAGGAATGAGTTAGACCCAATTCAATTTTTTTATATAAAAAAAAACTTTAATAAATTGAAAAGGATTTGATAGAAAAATAGATATTAATGTTTCGTTAAAATTTTAAGGAAACTTTTTTAAAGAAGGAGACTTATAATTTGGGACAGAGATGGTAGTAAATTATGTCATTTTCTACTATTTTAGGAGATAGTACATGATGTGATTTTCAATGTTTATGTGATGGAAGACCAAATTGGTATCAACTATTTTTGTGATGTGATTGCACAATTATCATTTCTTATAGTTAAGGCAATTGATTAAAAAAATACTTCAAGTTTTGTTATTAATTTAAGGCAGAGCTTATTTATTAACTTTTTTCAGAATGTAAGATCAAATTACCAAGTTGCCTCAAGGTCAAAACAAGATGTTAACACCAGTTTATCCTGAGCCAACAATGGTTCATAGTTGCAAGGCTGGACCGCTGAGATTCATGTATAAATCTACATATAATTCATGTATAAATCTACATATGAAGTGGAAGAAAATATGGAAAAAAGCACATATATTACATTATCATATGACCTTTCAGCCAAATCTTTAGGGTATGGTAGGATCTATTCTCTGTAAAGTGTTAAGAAAAGTATGTGTAAACTTTTTTTTTTATGATCTTAAAGGGTTTAGATATATTAGAAGGGGTTAATTCCCACATTGTGACAAAACAAGGTTGACGCTGAAAAAGGTTGTTGCTGTTACATTCATGTATTGAAGAAATTATTTTTATAGAAATTATTTTTACTAACTTTAAACAAAATATTTTGTATTCTTGCAATCTATCTCATAGAATGACGCTGATATTGTTGATTTCACTTCTGCAAAATCAATTATTACATTTGAAAATAATTTCTCAATAGTTGTTGGAAATCCACCAATTCTTTATGATGAATTTCGACCACCACTGATGATTAGTTATGACAAACAAATAAAAGAACAATGGAGATATTTCTGCAGAATTTCTATTCTGCCCACAAAGTGTGGAATCTTTATTATTCACTTTACAACTGCAAAATACTGTGAATGACTTGATTACAAAATAGGGGTTACTCCCTCTATTTATAGATTTAGGTTAGCTTGCTCCCTAAGCTAAACCCAAGCCCAAAATATCTTTTTACTAAATCAAATCTAATCAAATCTATTCTAGATTTAAATTCAAATCTATTTAAATCTAAACAAATCAAATCTTCTTTTGACACATATGAATTACAATTTAACACACCACTTAATTCATTGTGTCTAAACTGTCTATGTTCATCATGGCCCTTAGCTTTCTGAATACTTCGACCTGCACTCCCTTCGTCATGATGTCTGCAATCTGATTCTCAGTTCTGCAGTGTTCCAAATTCATCTTCCCATCTGCTACCTGCTCTCGAAGATAATGGAACCTCATTTCGATGTGCTTACTTCGACCATGTGCTATTGGGTTCTTCGCCAGATTGATAGCTGACATGTTGTCTATCTTCATGGTAATTGCTCCATGATTTTTCCTTGTTATCTCTTCGACCAAGTTCACCATCCAGGTTGCTTGACATGCACAAAGAGAAGCATCTATGTATTCTGCTTCGCATGATGATAATGCCACTACTGATTCTTTTCTCGAACTCCAAGCAATTGTTGCACCACCTAGCATAAACACATATCCTGCTGTTGACTTTCGATCTTCAGCATCACTACACCAACTCGAATCAGTGTATCCCACTAACTTGCATTCTTTTCCTTTATCAACTGCAGGAAATAGAATGTCATAATCGAAAGTTCCTTTAAGATACCTTAGTATCCTCTTCACAGCTGCTAGATGTGATACCTTTGGCTTCTGCATGAATCTACTTACCATACCTACGTTGTATGCTAAGTCAGGCCTTGTATGACAAAGGTATCTCAATGATCCAATAAGTCTTCTGTATTGGGTTGGATCAACATCATCTTCATCAGCATCTTTCGACAGTTGCAGTCTTGGTTCTGCAGGTGTCGAAGTTGCGTTGCATTCTTCCATCTCAAACCTTTTGAGAATTTCTCCTGCATATCTTCTTTGATGCATCATCAAACCTCTACTGCTCTTGTAGAATTCGATACCAAGGAAATATGAAATCTCACCCAGATCAGACATTTCGAATTCCTTGCTAAGGTCTACTTTGAATTCTTCGATCTCACTTTTACAGCTACCTGTTATCAACAAATCATCTACATAGAGACATAGTATAAGCAATTTACTCTTGCTTCTTCTTACATATACTCCATGTTCAGTTATGCACTTCACAAATTCCTTCTCCCTTAGAAAACTATCAATTTTCTTATTCCAAGCCCTTGGAGCTTGTTTCAAACCATACAGGGCTTTATGTAGCCTGTACACCTTTCTTTCTTCGTCATGTTTCACAAACTCAACTGGTTGTTTAACATAGACTTCTTCATCTAAGGGTCCATTTAGGAATGCACACTTCACGTCCATCTGACATATGTGCCAACTGTTGATTTCTGCTAGACCAACAACCAGCCTGATTGTTTCGATCCTAGCAACAGGTGCAAAAACTTCGTCGAAGTCTATTCCTTCTTTCTGTAGAAATCCTTTCGCCACAAGTCTTGCTTTGTGTCGAGTTACTTCACCTTTCGAATTCGTCTTCACTTTGTATACCCACTTGACATCAATTGCCTTCTTGCCTTGGGGCAATTCGACAAGTGACTAAGTGTTGTTGTCTTCGATAGACTTTACTTCTTCGTTCATTGCTTTCACCCACTTCGAATCCTTTAATGCTTCAGCTGCATTAATAGGTTCAACATCTGCATAGAAAGCATAATGTACCAGCTCACCTTCATCATCTATCACATCATCTGATGTAATCACACAATCTTGCAATCTTGCAGGCATGCGTCTTGTCCTTTGAGGTCTGCTTGTACTGGGTATATCTGCTGGCTCCTCTTGTCGAACTTCTCTTTCGACTTGAGTTTCTGGCTCTTTGAATAAGATTCCCACTGAATCTTTCTTGACATTTGCAGTCCAATCCCATTCTTTGAACTCATCTATGATCACGTCCCTGCTGATCACAATCTTCTTGTTCTCTGGATCGAACAACTTGTAGCCTCCTGTCGAATGATATCCAACTAGGATCATTTGACTTGACTTGTCATCAAGTTTCTTTCTCAACTGATCTGGCACATGTCTATGTGCAATAGATCCAAATACTTTCAGATGACTTAAGCTAGGCTTCACACCAGACTAACATTCTTCTAGAGTAATTCCTTCTAGCTTCTTTGTAGGACATCTGTTCAAAATATAAGTTGCAGTCGAAACAGCTTCACCCCAGAACTCTTTGGGTAAATTCTTGCCTTTCAACATACTTCTCACCATGTTCATGATGGTTCGATTTTTCCTTTCTGCAATTCCATTTTGCTGTGGAGTATAGGGTGGCACCACCTCATGCACAATCCCTTCTTTTTCACATAATTTGTTGAAGTCTTTCGACACATATTCTCCTCCACCATCAGTTCTCAAAACTTTGAGCTTTCGACCGCTTTGTCTTTCGACCATGGACTTGAACTTGGTGAATACTTCGAACACTTCACTTTTCTGCTTGATCAGGTAAGTCCATAGCTTTCGACTGAAATCATCTATGAATGTAACAAAGTATTTGTTACCTCCCATCGAATCCACCTGAATTGGTCCACATACATCAGAGTATATGATTTTGAGACTAGCCTTCGATCTGCTTCCTGCATCCTTGTTGAAGCTATTCTTGTGTTGCTTCGCCTGCACACATTCTTCACATACTTCATTTGGAGTATCAATTTCAGGCAATCCTGAAACCATATTTCTTCTCTTCAAATCTCTGATGTCTCTGAAGTTGAGATGACCTAGTCTATAATGCCATATCCATTCATCTCTGCTAGCTGCAGTCGAAAGACACTTGTGCTCCATCACATTTAGTTCAATCTTGAAGGTTCGATTCTGAGACATAAGAGCCTTCAAGATTACCCTCCCATTTGCATCAACAACTCTCATCAACTTATCTTCGATTGACACTTTATAATTCTTTTCGACCAACTGCCCTATACTGAGCAAATTGCTCTTCATGTCTGGTATGTACAATACATTCGAAATTACTGACTTCTTGCCATCTTTCCTCATGATCATAACATCACCAATACCTTCTGCTGCTAGGGTGTTGTCATTTGCAAATTTTACCATATTCTTCGTTGAGGGTTTTATATTGACGAACCAGTCTTTCCTTCCAGACATATGTGATGAACATCCTGAATCCAAGTACCATTGGTCATTGAATCTATCTTCATCTCTTGTTGTGACCATTAGCATCATCTCTTCTTCTTCTTCATGTTTTACAAGCTTTGCATCACTTTCTTGATTCTTTCGTTTTTCTGGACAATCACTTGAATAGTGACCATACTTCTGACAATTGTAACATTGAATGTGACTCTTATCAGGTTTTCGACCACCACCTCTTCCTCTGTTTGCAGCACCACCTCTTTGGTTGCCGTGGTGTGGTCTTCTTTGATTCGACACGTCTCCTTCGATTTGGTTTCCTCTACCATTCGATTTGTTGTAGCCACCTCTACTTCTGTCGAAATACTTTCCTTTGCCTTTGGTTTCTTTTGCTGAATGTGCCTGCAAGGCCACATCACTCTTCGATTTTCCTGCAGCTCTTTCGTTCATTCTTTGTTCATGAGATTCGAGCGTCCCTTGAAGCTCTTCCTTTGTCAATTTCGACAAGTCTTTCCCCTCTTCTATCGCCACCACTATGTGATCGAACTTAGGAGCTAAGGATCTCAGGATTTTCGAAACAACAGCTCTTGTTGTTAATGTTTCTCCACATGTCTTGATTTGGTTCACTAGTTTTGTAACTCTAGTGAAGAAATCAGATATGTTTTCACTGTCTTCCATCTGAAGCAGTTCATAGGTTCTTTTGTGAGTTTGTAACCTCACTTCTTTTACCTTCTCAGCGCCTCCAAAATATTTCTCCAGGATCTCCCAAGCTTCTTTTGCAGATTCTGAATCACTAATCTTTTAGAAATTGTCTGGGCTGACACATTGATGAATTATAAACAATGCTTTATAACTCTGTTTCTCAGATTCTGTGTATTTCTTCTTTTCTTCTTCTGAAGCGTTTTCGCCAAGCGCTTCGACTCCATCTTTTACAAGGTCCCAAAGGCCTTGACACCTTAATAGGACTTTCATCTGCTTGCATCAATTCTCATAGTTGTCAACTTTCAGAATTGGCAGCGTTGCTGGATAGTTTGCATTCCCATAACTTGTCATCGTGAATTCTTCAATCGTTCTTGATTGATACTTCCCTTGAATCGTAACACAAGCTCTTGATACCAGATGTTGGAAATCCACCAATTCTTTATGATGAATTTCGACCACCACTGATGATTAGTTATGA